TAACATGCGAACAAATCGACAGTCTAGTACAAATGAATCTACAAACGCTCTGGATCTAATCTGTTACCGTCGACAGTGAGGTTCGGCCGGATCGATACAGCTATGATAATGATAACAAACTAAAACCAAAGAATCTATAAAACCATCTATATGTCGACAGGTTCATGAAAAACATGCTATATGTGTGAAAGCATAGACGAATCGGCTAAAATAGCTGATGCATACATAGCAAACAAACAGAGTACATATCTCGATCATGAACAAAATCACTAATCAATGATCTTTAATTCAAAGTCTTACCAGTAAGGTTCAACCGAATCGATGCAGCTATGGTAGCGTCGTTAGATTAGATCTTATTGACTAGTGAGTTTATCCAAGATTAAAATATGTCTTTGGATGCGTACTATATTTGATTGGAATAGAAATAAAACAACCGATCTAGCAGAATTAAGTCATCAATTATGAGATTCAAAGTGTGACCAAACTAGAAGACGACCAATTGTGATGATATGATGCCGATCTCTATCTCAATCAGGTGATTTGTTATAATTAATAGAATATTAATTATAACAAGATCAATAAGTGGTGAATCAACCAAAAACAGCAAGGAAAATCTTGCTAATCTTAGCAGATTCGATAACTGGTGATATTGTGTAAAACAACAAGTTATTTAACACAAGATCGATAACTTTGATCTATATTATGATTCATAAGAGATCAATCAGCTGATGCAGCCTTACAAATAATGATATAGATCGATAACTAACTTATATTATACTCGTAAAAGATCAATCGGCCGATGCAGCTTTACGGGTATGATACAAGTCATGACGGTACTCATAGACAAGCCGGAGGTCGATCGGTTGATGCAACCCCGCTTGTTGAAGACCTCGTCGAGATCTACAATACTTCTACTCTTAAGGGCTGGTGTGAAGCTGAAAAAGTAATTGTATTGATTGATTGGTTATCTGTCCCTTTACAGTAGGCCATAACCCGTAGTTGGTCTTTAAGTACAAGGTATAAAATTGCCAAAAGCATCTAATCTATCTCGGCAAATTCTAACATGCACGAGTCCTGAAGCCGTACTACATACCAAATAAATGACTTCCGTTGCAGCCGATCTCTTTAATTTCCTTAATCACCGCATGCGTGTAAAGTATATATGTACCGGCCAACGCATATTCCTGATATTGTATTCGTCTCGGACTCAAGCTGGTTGGAAGCCATCAAACATGCCCTCTTCAGTTTTATCGTGTTGCACCAAAACTTTCAAGCGAACACGCCTGTGGCCTCATGCATGTCTTGGTCGATAGAAATTTCTGCACATATCTTCACCACGTACAAAAACATGTCAGCTTAATTCCTTGTATAGCTTGGCCGGCCAGGTAACATAAAATATTTCCCTTCTCAAGCACTCTTCCTTTCGTTCCGTCCGAGTCCATATTTATTCCATAAATCATGCTGAGAATCCACGTACACGATGCCATATCTCATGTATATGGATGTGCACCCCAAGTGTAATTGTCGGCCAAACCAAATATTGATTGGCTAAGTTATTAAAATAATCGCGGTAATCATCCCTTCCGTGATCTTGTCTTCTCATTTAGCTCACCGGGCTAAATGACCTCTTTTAATTTATCTCCTTTGCTTAGCCCGATATTATATTCTAGCTGGACTCCAGCCTGGCTAGTTACCATGATCAAAGCTGAGTACCAGGCTATGCTTCTCCCAAAATATATTAAATAATATTTTTTGGCCGGCTCCTAGATATCCCTTAATTAGGAGACTTTCTTGTTTTTGACATCATCGGCCGATCTCTTTCTTTCCGAGTAAGCTTACCAAATTTTGGTGTAAGCGAAAGATACAACATCAAATGAAAATTCTGTTGATAGCAGATGAAGCAAGGGAAATTTTATGGATTGTCCCTTAATGAATCATTATCATTTTCACTCCAACCTATCAGCGTCAAAAGAAAATGTTGATTTTCCAAATTTTGATCTTTTGGCAAAAACAGATCAGTTATATTCATATGAAGATTATGACAGTAGTATACTCGGAGGGTTGAAGAAGAGCTTCAAAAGCGCTCAACAAATGATTCTTGAGGAAGGTGTCAAATTGGATAATTCAAAGTCTGATTGACCAGAGGCATCTTCAAAGCATGCTGACATTTCAAAGAATATTCTAGCTGGTTCAGATCATTCTCGGAAAGGGCATATAACCAACAGTGGAAACAAATGAACTAAAAGAAACAAATGAGTCTTAGAGAAGATCAAGGCGGGATCATTCAACTGATATTTACTAGTGACATAGAAGAAAAATTCTTCCATCTCGTGGTGATAAGATAGTCGAAAGCGAAAGAGGGCAATATCTCATGTCCATAGAACACCTATAGTTTATTTTTAGGTTGCAATGCTGTATATCGATCGATGTTACTGTTTCACAATGAACGATTCCATTTAACCAATCAAACTTTTGTTGTTCTATAGTTCACCATCAAAAAAATAACTACAAGTATACTACCTGCATCTCTGCATGATGACAAGATGATGTTCTCGTATACGGATTGTGATGTTCTTTATTGTATATTTCCATGTTCTCTTTAAGTAAATGAGGTGTTCAGTGTTTTTTATTATCATAAGACACCTCTGTATGCATTTCATTATCAAGGACCCAAAGCAAATACCATTGGATTTTAAGTAGATTCCAAGTTAATATGTCAAAATGAATGGATACAAACAGGCCCTAATTGATTTTCATTTTCTCATGATTTAGTTTTAGATTAATTCAGATTGGATCATCTTGGATTGACCTCTACAAAAACTTCTTTTGTCAATGATGAGCGGTGGTTGGTTGCATGTCCATATGATGGATCTGTTTACGTAAGATTTGTCATTGAATCAGAAATTAATGTCCCTTATTGAAGGTCATCTTTTCCTGCAATTCTTTGATAGTTCAATTACAGTAAGTATCATCTTGTTAACAATAAATAAATGTCTTGTCATTATTCATGTAACTAATTCATTTGTTTCTATATAGTCTATCCAGATCCAAGATACTCTTGATTTCAACCAATACAAGGCTACATTCCTAGAAAGTGTTGGATTTACTCTTCATCGTGCTAAACTTGTAAGTTATTCCAAATTTGTTTTCAAATTTCAATATCTATTGTATTTACATTTATATATCTTTCTTAAATACAGTTACATATCCCTTGTTTTGTAAATGGCCAATGGGTTTTGGTTGTTGTGAACCTTCTTCGTAAATCTTTCCATGTTCTTGACCCAAATAAAAACACAGATGTCTCAGCCAACAAAGTTCAGAATGTTATCAGAAATTTCAGGATATTTTTGAAGCCAATTTCCATCGAATCTCATCTACAATATATATGATTTTCAAGTTTAGTACTTGAACATTCCTAAGTGTAATTTCAGGTAATCATGATGTACTCCTTTCATATGTGTATTATAAAATGAATTCCAATTTGCCATTATGTCATATTGTGCTTACTTCCAATAAATGTATAGTAAATAATCTTTACGTTTAAAGCAAATAATCTTTGAGATCTAGGTTTCACGCTTACATGTATCATAATGAACATTCAAAAATGATAATGAGAACACCAACTATGTCCTTGGTGAACATCATATGTACTTTGTGAGAACAGTGAAAGATAAATAACAGCACAATGAAAGATGTAAAACATAACATATTCATTACTGTTTTCAGTGAATTCAAAAACCATATTGATGTAAACAGAAGCTGCTATTGAATTTGTGTTGTATGTTTTGTATTGACACTACTGGTTTGTAAATTTTCATGCACCAAAATTATATTCCTTACATTTATATTAAATTTGACATAATCTTTTCTTAATGTAGGTATGATTAGGAATCTTTGTGTCTGCAGTTCATGCGGACTTTTGATGGGACAACAATAGAAATTCTCTAATGTAAGCAAAAACATATCACACGATAATATTCTTCGGTTGAAGCTAAATATTGACTAGATATTTGTAATGAATCTCTGAATTTACTTTGTATTGTGTGAAATGAATTATTTTAAAAAAATCATTACAGGTTGATGTGTTACCTCTACGTGCAAAATTCTTATTCCAAGTAGTAACAACTCAGCACAATAAGGCAAAGTCAAAATTCATGAAAAAGTTCTATGATGATAACGTAAGTATTACTCATTATCAAATTTAACTTCATTAGAGTTTTCATATATTAGTTCTATTGCCAATATAACCATTACAAGTTCTGAAATTGTAACAATTTCTTTTCTTCTTGTACATGCGAACTATTTCTCTGATTCTATGAGCTAAAAGTTTGAAGATAGTCTAGCGGAAAAATATATAATGCTTTTTGGCCTTAGTATATTGTTCCTCTTGGTTATGATGTTCATAGATCAGTGAAACAAATGAGTTAGTTTGAAGACACAGTTCGTTAAATTTGATGGAGACTTATGATCTGCCTTTTTAGATTTGTTCTATTTATTTTTCTCTCTAGGATTAGAACCATATACTAGTTAATAATAGGAACAGCTTATTATGGCAAAAAAAAAGTTTCTTTCAAGGGCAGAACTTTAAGAAGTGAACAAGTTTTAAAGTTGTTAATATGCAGCAAGGTTAATTGTTCAGTAACTTATCTGCATTCTGTTCTATACTTTTCTTTATGCATCTTATTCTTATTTAATAGTGTCATCAGTGAATTAGTTCGATAGCAGTCATGTACAAAATGTTCTGAGTAACATTTCAAAACGCTCTTAGTAAAACTTCAACAGCAGAATTGAATATGGACACCGAAGAAACATTATGGCAATGATGTTGAAGAAATCAAAACGGCCTACTTAAGAAACAGTCCAGAGCGCTCAGAAGAGAAACGGCTCAACAAAGGAACAATAATATGCACGCGCTGAGGCCGATAAGTACTAAAATATCTGCCAGCGCTTGCGTCGTGTTCACCTCGCCACCGCGACGCGTCCCGGGCAGCGCCGACGCCATGCTCATGGCGGGCAGCACGCGCCGGTGGAGCCCCGGCGCCCGCGCCTTCTCCACGGATCCGGCCACGCGGACCACCGTGCCGCTCGCGCACCTGGCCCCGCTCCCGGCATCCCTGCCGGAGTCCGGCTACAACGTCACGCCGCCGGTCCAGCCCTGGCCGCGCCGCCTCACGGCGCGGTCGTTCTCCGTCTCCTCCTCCGCGCTGCCACGCCCGAGCACGCGGTCCTCGCCCTCCGCCACGCGCTCTTCCACGCCGCGCCTCCGCTGCCGCCCTCGCTCCCCGTCTTCGCCGCGGCGCTCTCCCGCCTCTCCCACGCCGACGCCGGCGCCAGCGCCGCGGCCCGCCACCTGCCCCCCCGTCCTCTCCCTGCTCCGCGCGTCCCGGCTCCCGGTCTTCTCCGACCGCCCGTTCCTGCCGCTCCTCCGCGCGCTCCGCCCGCTCCCGTCCCTCCGCCTCTTCCTCTCCCTACCGTCCTTCAACTCCCGCCCCTCCACCCGCTCCTTCAACGCTCTCCTCCACTCACTCGTCTCCGCGCGCCGCCTCCGCCTCGCCGCCGCGCTCTTTCGCGCCGCGCCAACCAAGCTGTACATCACGCCTAACCTCGTCTCCTGCAACATCCTGCTCAAGGGGCTCGTTGGCGTCGGTGACCTCGACGTCGCGCTAAAGGTGCTCGACGAAATGAGTGGGTGGGGGATCGTTCCGGATGTCGTCACGTACACTACTGTTCTCACTGCCTACTGCGCAAAAGGGGATCTCGAGGGTGCACAGCAGCTCTTTGATGATATTATTGCCAGCGGGCGTAGGCCGGATGCTACGATGTACACGGTGCTCATAGATGGGTACTGCCAGCGTGGGAAGTTGCAAGATGCAGCGAGGATCATGGATGAGATGGAAGCCGTTGGGGTGCAGCCAAATGAGGTTACATACTCTGTGGTGATCAAAGCGTGCTGCAAGGAGGAAAATCCACAGAGGCGCGTGATTTGACGAGGGAGATGCTGGGGCAGGATACGTACCGGACACACCACTGTGTGCTAAGGTGGTTGATGTGCTATGCCAGGATGGAAAGGCAGGAGAGGCGAATGAGATATGGAGACAGATGGTGAGGAAGAACGTCCCACCAGATAACACTGTCGTGAGCACATTGATCTACTGGTTATGCAAGAATGGAATGATTCAAGAGGCGAGGAAGCTGTTTGATGAGCTCGAGAGGGGGTTCGTGCCAAGCTTGCTGACGTATAACTCGCTTATTGTAGGATTATGTGAGAATGGAGAGTTACAGGAGGCTGGTAGGGTGTGGGATGACATGGTTGAGCAATGCGGTATGAACCAAATGCAATGACTTATGAGGCCTTGATCAAGGGTTTCTGCAAAATAGGCAAGTCAAATGAAGGTTATGCGCTATTTAAGGAGATGATGGCCAAAGGGTGCACTCCAAGCAAATCTCTTTACCAAGCATTGGTTGATAGCCTTTCTGAGCCAAGTCATGATGATACTGTTTTCACTATCGTTGAAGATGCAGCTTTATGTGGTCCGGATTTCTTGGATGGTCAATCGTGGAAAAAAACTTATCAGGAAAGTGGTAGATACAAATGAAACTTGGAAAAAGCATCTCGATTTGGTGCTGAATATGTAGCCATAAAGAATCAGATTATAACTGGAAGCTTGGAACTTCAAATTTTGTTCTGAGACTTTTTCTTATGAAACTTACGTCATTGGGCTTCTTCAGAAAATTAATCAGGTTAGTGTGTTGTGTTCCCATGACATCATACAGGTTATGTAGCAAATAGGCTCACAAAAAAAGGATCTGTAATTGATAATTCTTACTAGTCTAAAGACACATCTTTCTTTGTTTATGTTATTGGGCATCTTCAGAAAATTAATCAGGTTAGTTGTTGTGTTTCCATGACCATGAGATCAGACAAGTTCTGTGGCAAGGCAGCTCTAACAACAACAACGTAGCCTTTTAGTCCCAAGCAAGCTAGGATAGGCTAGAGTTGAAACCCTCCAAGAGTCTCAAGTCATGGTTCGAGGGCACTTCAATAGGCTGCTTTTCAAGGACTCCTATTCAAACATAGATCTCTAGGTATAACCTAAGCTTTCAAATCTCTTTTATTGCCTCCTCCATATCAATTTCGGTCTTCCTCTACCTCTCCTCATATTATTAGCTTGGCTTAGGACTCCACAATACACCGGTGCCTCTGGAGGTCTCCTTTGGACATAGCCAAACCACCTCAACCGATGTTGGACAAACTTTTCTTCAATTGGTGCTACCTCTAGGAGATCATGTATGTCATCGTTCGAACTCGATCCATTCTTGTGTGACCGCAAATCCGCCATAACATACGTATTTACGTAACACTTTCGGTTGTTGAACATGTTGAATCTTTGTAGGCCAACATTCTCGCTCCATATAATAAAAAAGCGCGCACACACACCAAAAAATAAGAATATGTTATTGTCAATGGTTACTAGCCTAAAAGATGTATCTTTCTTTGTTTATTTTTATGAATAAATTATATATATGTTTCGTTCTACCATGGTGTCGGTGTTTTGGACCACCAAGCGAGTAAATTTGTATTTTATGCGTTTGGCTCGGATGGTGTGCTAGGAGGACACAAGGGTTTATCTTGATTCGGGTAGAACGTCCCTACGCCCGATTCGTTCTTTGCTCATATTACTGCGGTACTTGGTTTGTAGTAGGGGTTACAAACAGTGAGAAAGGGAAAGGATCTCAAGTCTACGGTGGAAGGAGTGAGCAGGTCTTTGAGAGCTCGATTGCCGCCAGGTGTGCTGCAAATGTCGTGCTCTTGTGTTTTTGATCCTCTGTCCAGATCCCCTAGTAGTGGCGCCCTGCTTCAAGGCGAAGGGAAAGCGCGGGTTACAGAGGAGGAAAAGAAGAAGAACGAGATAGAGAAGAAGGCTTTCAGGATCGTCGGGTCCTTCTCCTTCATGCGGGTCCCGCCGATCCTGTAGATGTCAACAGGGACGGCTCCATGTCGCGGCCCTGTTTGTCTTCGCACTTTCTGTGAGCGTCATTTGTCGGTCATGGCGTTCCACTCCATCCCAGCGGACGTCATGTTGAACTGACGCGCCTATCAGCATCCGTACAAGGATTAGGCAGAACAGTACCGGTACGCCCGACATTGTTCTCGATGTGAATCGCTAGGTATGGCCCATCATGGTCACGGGTTACATCGAGGCGTGTCAGCCTCTTCCTTGGTGTTAGAGGTTTGACATAGGCCCATACGCTCGGACCTAGAGTGGTTGGCGGTAGTATGGCTCCCCGTCGGACGAGACGAAGCCCGCGTCCTTGAGGTCGAGGGTGAGGCGGAGCCGCGACCTTGGGGTCAAAGCGAGGCGGAACTGCGATCTTGGGCGAGGCGGAGCCCACGTCCTTGGGATCGGGCGAGACGGAACCCGCACCAAGGGGGGCGAGGCGGAGCCCATACCCAAGGGGTCGGGCGAGGCGGAACCAGCGCCCTTGAGGTCAGGCGAGGCGAGACCCGCACCACAAGGGGTTGGGCGAGACCTTTAATCGTCTCGAGCCAACCGGGGAAGTCAGCGCGGGCGCTAACTTCCTTTCTTTGGGTATCCCTAATATCGATACCTGACAGCAGCCCCCGAGCCTACGGAGGAGTAGAATACTCCTTTGGAGGCTTTACCGGACGGGAGGACTCTGAGGGCCTTGGCCTTCTTCTAGCTCGCGACGTGTCCTGGTAGGGTGGCGATTCCTTTTGTCGCGATCGGTCTTCTACGGGGCATGTAACCGTAGGATTCGGAGATCGGAAGATTGTTCTTGATTCTGGTCCCCTAGGATCCGATCGGTCCGCCGTCGTACGGCGACCGCGTGTTCGCTCTCCTTGTGAGTCCAACTTCCCTCGAGCCCCCACGCGTAGCAGGGGTCCGGTCGAGGGTCGACTCGTCTTTGTGATCGTCATCCCTTAGTCATTTTTTTCGATAAAAGCGGAGAAATTTGAGTCGTGCCACGTTTTTCCTCGATGGGCCGAAACATGGTGCTCGGTGAAATTTGTTAATGGGCTAGTCCAAGTGGGGCCCCAGCTTTCGCTAGTGGGCCCATCCTTTCCACCCTCACTCTAAAGGTGCCCTAGAGCGGTTTGTGAACCCGTCGGAGGGCCACCTTGAACTCTGGGCCTAAATGGGTCGTAGGGGGCGTTTTCGACTTTGTATCCCTCCTTACCTGTGATGGTTCTTGGCCCATCGACCGGGCAAACCGTCATCCGGCATGTCCTTTGAGGGTGCGGCTAGAGATAGCGTGCGCACGATCTTTCGGAGGGAGGTGACATGACGCGGCGCAGCGGGCGCATGAATCTAGGTAGACAGTTCGTCTTCTCACCTCGCTCCATCCTATAAATAGCGGCCTCCCCCTTCATGTTTCTGCACACCAAAACCACAGCCTTACCTTCTCCGTTTCTCCACCGTCGCCGTTCGGATCTGCCGTGCTTGCTAATCCAACGCCGAAGCCCTAGATCTGTAGCCTCCGCTTCTCCGCCGCCGCCTTTGCTTCTCCACAGCTGCCTCCATCCTCCATGGATTCGTGGTACCACTTCGATGTTACCTATGCGCGCATGTAGGGTATCGTCAAGCGTGGTCTTCTCCGTAGGAGGACGGATGCGGTAGAGTGGCTCGTGCCCGGCCGTGAGGATGTGTCGGCGCCGCCCGACAACTATGTCATCTCCTTCGTGCCCTTTCACGAGCGCGGACTCGTGGTTCCTCCCCACCTGTTCTTCCCGGGTCTGCTGCACCACTATCAGATCAAGCTGCAGCACTTGAACCCCAACAGAATCCAGCACATCGCGGCCTTCATCGTGATGTACGAGGGGTACCTAGGGATCGAACCCCACTTCGAGTTGTGGAGATATTTCTTCTCCATCTCCTTGATCAAGAAGAAGGAGAGAGGCTGGGAGACCCTGGTGCCGATGGGATGCGCGGGCATCCACCTCCGGGGGTAGCGGGCGGCGAGTACATGCCCCCTTGACTCTCCGGATCCAACAAGCGATGGCTTTTCGTATTGGTTCTACCTAAAGGACGACCCTCGCCGCTCCCTTGTCGGTCTTCTCCCGGCGCTGGTCAAAGAGGTATCGACGCGTCATGGCGTGGGGCCACCCATCAAGGAGAAGAAGAGGATGCACGACCTCCTCGAGGCCATCGCCTTCCACGAAGACCCACGGCCTCTATAGGGCCGGCGTCATCGGGGTATCACGCTGTGAGTAGGGTGGCGCCCATGATGTCGCGCGTCCTCCCCTTGTATGGGATGGCGCTGGCATGCGACTTGTTGGGACGGCGCTTCGCTTAGGGGCTGCTTTCTGCGACAACAGAGTCGGCATGACCTATCAAGGAGGCCATGGGGGAGGCCGACGCCGTGTTCCCGATCCCGGGGCATCCCGTGATGTAGCCGGACGCGGGCTTCATCGAGCTGCCGGCGGGGTTAGTCTTCTGGGACTCTGTCGCGCGCTTGTTGCCCGAGCGCGTGGGTCGTGAGGGTGGTGAACCATGCAGCGGATGAACAAAGGAAGAAGAAGGACGACAAGGAGAGGAAACGGCGGTCGAAGCAGCGAGCGAAGCTACAGCGAGGGAAGCGGCGTCAAGGTTCGTCGAAAGAAGAGGAGGAAGAAGAGGAGGATAACGGCTCCATGTCGCCCATCCCATGGGGCGATCTGGCCATCGGGGACGAGGACCCTCCTTCACCGCAGGCGGGGTCCTTCCTGTGGCATGCCATGGGGTAGGGGGTGAGGATGCGCCCCCGGAGCCAGTGGAATCAAAACGCCCCGCCCCGTCCGGTCCTTCGATGGTGGCCTCAGAACCGGTGGAATCAAGCCGCCTCGCCTCATCTGGGCCTTCAACGGCGGCCTCGGAGCCAGCAAAAATAGGTCGCCCCGCTCCGTCTGAGCCCTCGACGAAGCCTCCGGAGTTGGCAGGAGGCGGCCGTTCTGATTCGTCCAAGCCCTCCGAGTTGAGGGAGGGCTTGAAGCGGCAACATGCCGACGAGTAGCAGCCGGGGTCAGGCAAGCCAGCCCCAAACCATCCTCACATGACGGCGTCAGGGTGAGTTAAGAGTTTTTTTGTCCTTTTGTCTTAACAAATTTTTGCCGCGAACTGACCGCCATGTCACTTGCAGCATCGGAGGACGTGGGACTCTCCTGTAGCTCACTCCAAAAAAGATCATCCTCCGGCAAACGCTCCAGGAGCAGGCTGGCGCCGCGCTAGTGGTGAGCGTGAGTGGTGTTGGGGCGGCCACGGCGTCGACCGGGGAGGCGCAACCGATGGCTACGTCCACGGGAGAGCATGCGGAGGAGGGCGCGTCCGGGGCGCTTGTGGCGGGCGTGGCGCGGCCATCCGTGTCCTCGACGTCGCAGGTGGAGGAGGCACGACCGGAGCCGCCGTCCATGCAGGTGGCCATGTCTCACGGAGGGCGGGACGGAAGGAAGGCGCGCAAGGCATCCTTCATGGATGTGGCGATAGGGTAGGCCTCCATGTCGCGTCACCCCCCCCTATCGCTAGAGGAGCCACTCTGGAGGAGGCTGCGCGCCGCAGGAGAGGTCGGCGCTGCTTGAGGTTGGCGCGGGGATGTCCCG